CTCCTGCGAACATGTGCAGGATGATGGGTGAGACTGAGGATCAGCGACCTCTGTACCACCCTTACCGCAATGTCGTCCAACGCTTCCTCAATGACCCACGTTTCCGCCACCGGATGACTGCCGCTCGCGTGGAGACTGGCAAGCAAGCCTGGACCATCGAGGACATGCGCGACGCTTGCGACATTCATGATCGCAGCGTTAGGCTTGGCCTCGCTGGTCGCAGGAACTGGCGGTTGAACGAAGGGGGGCTGGACAGAGGCACTAGGCAAGAGCGTGGCCTCATCACAATTGCTTTGCCCGCGGGGACGGCACTTGTGAAAAGGTGACGCAGCGCAAGCTTGCCAAACTCGCCTCTGTCAAACCTGCCATGTGATCTGCCGATTCAGGGGGGGTAAGTTCAGGGGTTAGAGCCGATCCTAATGACCCCCCCCACGCATTCGTCCCACACACATGGCGCCACGGAGCCGCAGCAGCCGCGGCGTCCGCCGCCGCCTCGCGCTGCCCATGGCGACGCCACTGGATCGCGCGCCTCTGGCGCGCAGGCGGGGGCGCCCGCTGGGCCGAGCGGCGCGGCCGCCGCGCCATGGCAGAGCAGCGACAGCAGCCGCAGGCCGACGACGCCCCCGCGTGCCAAGCGGGCGCGTGCGACAGAGGACTACGCAACGTGGTGGCGCCACAACCTTGAGGACAGCCCATGGGGTCCACGGTACTGGAGCTACTGCGCCAAGTGCTGGATTTACGTTGCGGACAACAACGACGAGTTCGTGTACATCCGCGACCTGCTAAACAATGATCGGTTCCGCAACTGGACCTCGAGGGCGCCTTGGGAGACATTCGCGACGAGCTACGTCGAGACCGACGGCCACAGGGTGTGGGACCACAGGTTCTACATGAGAGGCGCTTCGTAGTTTTGTTGGCCGCAAGGCCCACTGCTCGATTGGCTTGAACTTCATCTGTCCAAAAGTTCGCCTCGAGCAGTGAATACTAATACAATCTTCGGCCACCTCACTATACAAGATAAGTGGCCACTCGCACACAACTTGTGAAACCCAAGGCAGACTCCTAAGGAGCATCGCCGAGGGGAGTAACCAATTGCAGAATTTGTTAATGCAGTTTTCCGTGTTTATCAACGCGACTCTACGCCTGGCCAGGCGTTTGCTTTGATGATTAGACGTGTTTCTTAACGCTATCGTGTTCCTCAGCACGACTTGATATTACATTTTTTCTTATTTTTTACCGTATAATTTGAGATTAATTGCGTTGATAATGATCTGGTGGTAACACCTGTCGCGTGCAGACGCGGCAGCTTCTGATGTTGCTTTAATTTGCTCAGATCCTCTTGCTCCGCCCGCCCGTGCCTCATTCCTCTCCGCCCTCGAGTGCCGAAGCGTTTTTTGGGGGCGCGCCGAGGGGGCACCAAAGTGTGCTTGGCGAAGGAACAGGGGCCCCGGGTGTTCTTTCTTTCTCTTACTTGCCAGATCATGGCAGCTGTTGTGCTACGCTACGTTTTGCACGCCGCTGTCGTGATCGGGACGCAGCTGACGCGATGCAGTTTTTACGCTCAGCTGCCTTGCAGTGCTGAGGATTTGAGGAGTAAAAGGGTGACATGTTCTCTTCTCCTTTTCCCGAGTCCTGCCCTTGCGGGCGGGATTCGGGACGGGGGGTGTGAATCGAACCCGTATAATACTTTCATATATACTCCTTATCCTCGCTCTCTTGCGCCTGGCCGTTTGGGCTCAGGTATTGGACTAGACCGATCATACCTTTGATCGTGCAGGAGGAAAAGATATCCATCTTTCCCTCCTTTCTTCTACCAACGTATCAGGGGTTCTGTACCTTTGTACCTCAACCCCATACACAAGAAGTGATCAAACGCAGTTCCAGGGACAAGTGATCAAGCGCAGTTCCAGGGGCGCACCTCGAGTTCGCCAGCGTGGTGTCTGACATTCGCGCGAAAGGGTTGCCCGCGGAATGTTGGCCCAAGCGCTCGCGCATGTTCGCGAGCGCGGCGCAGATTCGGCGTCGCCCCGCGCGCAGTTCGCACCGCGTGGACGAACTGGCCGCAGAGGTGGCCAAGCTCAAAAAGGTCGGCGTTGCCTCGCCGCTCGTGCGAGTCGATTTGAAGAAGTGGCTTCCTGAATTCCCGGCTCTCAAGGAAGTCCTCCAGTTAGAGGACAAAGAGAACAACCTCGCCAGGGCGCGCTGGTTTCGAGATCGAACCCGCGCAACGCGTTGCCTTCGCTGCAGGATCTTCTCGACCTGGCCAACGCCATCAAGGCCAACGGCCAAGAGGGAAAGCGCAAGACGATGGTGAATATGTCGCAGTGGCAGGCAGCATGAAACAGGTGCCGCGGTCGCGCGAGGCAGCGCCGCCGCGAGATTACGTTTGCGTTTCGCACAGGTGCGCGCTGGCGGCGGCCGCGACTGGCCAGCTCAGCCTGGCGGCGTCGTGGGCGCATCGCGAGATTTGCTTGCGCGTGGCCATGAATGCCCACGCGCACAAGCGCCGCGCTAACCTGGCAGTTTACTACGACCAGGCCCAGCGCGCAGCGTGCGCCAGGGATGCGCAACCGCTTCTGATCTGCGAGCTCGCGCGGTCTATGCGATGAGAAGCCCGACGCGGGCTCAGGGGGCGGCAGCAAAGGCGGGGCAAGAGGTTCCAGCGGCAGCGGCAAAGGCGGAGGCACGCAGAACGACCGCCGCGGCTCGCGGTCGCGCAGTGATTGGCAAGACCGCAGCGCGTGGTCGAGCGGCCGCTCCTCGCGGTCCTCTGGCGGCCGCAGGCCGCGCGCGCCGCCCAGGCCCGCCGGGGGCCCAGGTGACCGCGAGCCGCGCGCGCCGCCGAGGCCCGCCAAGAAGGCGCGCAGCGAGTGGCCCTGAGGCTGTGGGCTGCGCTGCCCGCGAGTGGCGCGGCGCCCATGTGCGCTCTCGCAGTGGCCTCTGCCGCGCCCTCGCTCAATTTCGCGTTTGTATTGCAGTCGCCCGACGCGCGTTTCAGCGCCGCGGCGAAGCGGGGGTCGGCGCGCCAACGGGCGGTGGCGCCAGGGCGCGCGCAACGCTTGCATCGCCTGGCTTTATCTCTGCAATCATCGCACGACGCGGCAGCTGCCAGCTCCCCCGCGGCCGCCGGGGGCCCGAAAAAGGGAAGGGGCCCCGCAGCCGCCATCGCCGCCCCGCGCGTGGGCGGCTGGGGCCAAGCGCAGCCGCGCGGGCAATCTGGCAAATCGCCTCAGCCAGGCTGGGGCCTTCCGTGCAGCGAGTAGCGACGCAGCGTGTGCGCGTCTCGTGCAGGCGCCGAATCAATCCGCAGCGAACAGTGACATTTTGGATTTCGCCGCAAGGGCGGTCGGCGAGTCTGTTGCTTTTCAGAAGGAATGCAGTTTGTCTAGTGAGGTGTCTGAGGCTTTGAGCTGGGTCAGCGGCGCGCGACCGTTCGGCTGCTTTGACAAAGCGCGGCACGCGGCCTCGCGTGGGCAGCGTGCGCGCCACGGGCCTCGCGGGGCCCCTCCCCTAAGAGGCGAACCCACAGCGCGCGCAGCCGCGCGCGCGGACGGGCCCCTCGAGGCCGCCCCAACGCCACCCGCATCGCGGTGCGGTGGCCCAGCGCAGCGGGACAAGTGCCCGCCGGCTTCACAACATCGGCCAACAGGCCAGCGGCCGCACATGGGCGGACCGCGGACAAGAGGAAACATGAGCGCAGAAGCGGCAGCCGCACAGGCAGAGCAGCACCAGCATCCCTCCCCCACCCACGGCCCTGCACCCCGACCCCCCCCCGTCCCGAGGACGAGGAGAAAACGGGGGAGGGAGCAGGGCAGACGCAGGATCGGCATTCGTGCAAGCCCACAAGCGTAGCGACAGTGCGAGCACTGTCCCCGAGTTTGTGGGCCCATCTCATGGGGGGCTCTTGGGGGCCTCTTAAAAGCTTCGTGGGGGCTTCTTGGAGCGTCTTTGGGGCTGCTTTGGGGCCTCTTGGGGCTTCTTGTTGACGTCTTGCGCCGGCTTGGCGCCGTCTGGCCCCTTCGGAGGCCATCTTGGAGGCCTCTCGCGGCCGCCTTCGGGCTCTCTTGGAGTCCTCTTGGGCCGTCTTGGGGGCCGGGGCCCCTTGGACCGTCTCGGGAGCCTCTCTTGGCCGTCTCGGGGCTTGGGGTCCTTTTGAGCAATCCTGGTGCCCCTGTGGGGGCCTCTTTAGCCGTCTTGGGGTCTTCTTGGAGGCTGCTTGGGCCGTCAGGGTCTTCTGAGAGCCGAAAGAGGCGAGACCGCTAACATCTTTCAATCAATCATCGGGCAATCAATGATTTTGGCTCCTGGAGGCGCTCTTTCGAGTCCTCTTGGGGCCGCCTTGAGCCGTCTGGGGGGCCTCACGGGCCCTTTTGGGACCATCCAGGGCGTCGTTGGGCCGTCTTGGGCCGTCTTGGGTCCATCTTGGGCTATCTTGAGGCCTTCTTGTACCCCAGAGGCCCCGGAGGCCCAAATCGTCGATTTCCTATGGTTTTTGTTATTGGCTTCGAGAGCCCGAGAAGGGGGGGCATCCATCTTGTGTCGGCGGAGTGGCGCGACTCCAGTGGGGGGTTAGGGCCAGGGGGGAGACATAATAATGTAAAGCAATACGATATGTGGCAATTCTACAACGATTGGATACATTGGATACCGTGCAGTATCGCCTCCACAGAAAACGCTGCCGCTCAGCACGTCACTTGGATTTAAAGCTTGCGCCATTCAGCCGACCCCCCAAAGAGGATATGTGAATCTGTAGATTTACCTTCTCGGGGGAATCCGCTTGACGGTCAGGCGGCATTTTCCTCTGCCAGTCGCCTCTTGTTGTGCCGTGCGTTCGAAAGGGGTGGGGGCGGAGGCGGTGGCTGGGGCGGTGGCGGGGCAGGGGGACAGGAAGCGCACGAAACGAGATGCCGCTTGCCTCCCAGCCACCCCACCTCCGCATCCTGCCGTGCTGGCCTCTGAAGCAGTGCATGGGGTGGCGCCGTGCCGCGCGGGCGCGCAAGGCCGCAGAAGAGGCGGAGGGGCAAGGCCGGCGCGCAGGCCACGATGGTGGGGAAAACCCAACTGTCTTGCTTGGCTGGCGAAGGGAATCGAAGGGCGTTGTCTCTGGAAACGCTGGGGCCCGGGGGCCTCCATACTCCGCATCTCAACGAGAGAGGTGCTCGGGCGCTCGTGGCGTCCGAAATGGATTTCGGAAGCCCGAGTTGCCGTTCAAAAGCCGACCTCTTCCAAGTTCTTGGAGGAGGACCAGGAGGAGAAGGAGGAGGAGAAGGAGGAGGAGAAGGAGCAGGAGGACGAGGAGGAGGAGGAGGAGGGGGAGAGAGAGAAAGGAGAAGTTTGCCCCATGGGGGGAAACCGTCGTCGAGGCTGCTGCTGCCCAGGAGTGGTCGGAGGGCTGCTACCGAACATGATCTGGCCAGTAAGAGAAGAGGTGGACGGAGGAGGGATGAGGCAAGGAGGGAAGAGGAGGAGGTGGAGGAGGAGGAGGAGGAAGAGGGATGCTGTAGGGGGATGGTGGGGGGAGAAGGGAGGCAGGATGAGGGAGTATGCTGGTGTGATGATGATGCTGATGATGATGATGATGATGATGATGATGATGATGACGATGATGATGATGATGATGATGATGATGATGATGATGATGATGATGATGATTATGGAGATGATGATGATGATGATGATGATGATGATGATGATGATGATGATGATGATGATCATGATGATGATTATGATGATGATGATGACGATGATGCTGATAATTATGATGCTGATGCCGATGCTGGTGATGATGATGGTTGTGGTTGTGGTTGTGGTGGTGATCATGCTGATGCTGATGATGCTGGTGATGATGCTGGTGATGATGCTGGTGATGATGATGATGATGATGATGATGATGATGATGATGATGATGATGATGATGATGATGATGATGATGATGATGATGATGATGATGATGATGATGATGATGATGATGATGATGATGATGATGATGATGATGATGATGATGATGATGATGATGATGATGATGATGATGATGACAATGACGATGACAATGATGACGCTGACCATGATGATGCTGATGATGAGGGGCCTCTTGGGGCATTCTTGGCCTGTTTTGGGGCCCTCTATGCCCCCATGGTGCGTTCAGCCGGGGGTCGCCCGGGCAAGGGGGGGGGGTCAAATTCCCGATTTGGGGTCCCTGGGGGGGATTATGGCGGGGGGACATTTCACATGCCTGAAGGCCTACAAGGGGTCGGCGGATGGTGGTGATGATGATGATGCTGATGATGATGATGATGATGATGATGATGATGATGATGGTGGTGGTGGTGGTGGTGGTGGTGGTGGTGGCGGTGGTGGTGGTGGTGCTGATGCTGATGATGCTGGTGATGATGCTGGTGATGATGCTGGTGATGATGATGATAATGATGATGATGATGATGATGATGATGATGATGATGATGGTGGTGATTATGCTGATGATGATTATGCTGATGATGATGCTGATGATGAGGAGGAGGATGAGGATGAGGATCAGCATGAGGATGATGGTGATGGTGATTGTGCGATCGAGTGCCTCTGGCGTGTAACTTTGGTGAGTTCCCCAAAGTCCTGAGCTTGATAGTGTTTACAGGGGAGGGGGCCCGTCCATAACCATTTTGGCTCAAGTCCATTCTCACAAGCCAAGCCTGATCCGACCTACCCAAATTTCCCATATCTCTCATATCTACTCTCACCCATATCTACCTGGAGGGTCACTGTGCTGATCGACTGACGCCTGGGAGTTGCCGAGTTGGGGCTTCGCCGGGAAAAGAGCACCATCGGCTTCGTCAACGTCATCGTCAAGGGAACAGTGGTAGCGAAGCGTCTGAGGACGCTACTTTGGATCTGCGGACGTAATGACGGGATCGGAGAATAGTGACAACTCGAACGGCGAGACTCGGAACGGTGGCCAGGAGTCTATCGAGCAGGTGATGGGGATCGCACAGCAGTGGCAGAACGAGGACGGTCAGTTCCAGATCGCGGCGGAGCAGATGCGCACGTTCCTCGAGCAGGCCAGAAGTCTCATTGTGACAGCAGCGTCGAGTGCCGGTCAGGGTGAAAGCTCAAGGGCCAAGACGGACGCGAACAGCACCAAGGGCGGCCATGGAGAGGAGTGGGACGAGCAGTCGTGGAATTCGTCGACGTGGTGGAGCAAGGTAGGCGACGCAGCCGACGCCAGTCCAGCACACTATGGAGATCGAGATCCATGGCAGCAGTGCGGACGAAACCCGTGGGAATAGTCGCGCAGATCAGACGGCTGGAAGGACAAGTCCAGCGGCTGGAGGGACCACTCCGGCGGCTGGAAGGACAGGTCCGACGGCTGGAAGGACAGGTCCGACGGATGGGAGGAGGTATAGCAGCTGGGAGAGCCGGGACTGGAACGAAGGCAAGTGGGGCGATCAGTCGAACACTGAGAAGTGGAGTAACGACGGGAGGTCCCGCGGGAAGGACTTCGCCGATCCTGAGGCGTGGCCCGGATGACCGGAGTTCAAGCTTTGGCGAAGAAGCGTGATGCGCTGGAGGCAAACCACAGATGTGGAGACTCACAAGCACGCGAACCGCATCATGAAGTTGTTGCCGATCGACCTTCAGCGGAAGCTAGAGGACATCACGGATGATGGTTTGATCTCAGACAGCGGCGCCGACAAAGTCATAACTAGGTTAGAATCTGCTTTCAGGAGAAAGGGTCGGATATGAAAAACGCACAAAGCAGGACGAGAGCGCCTCTTCTCGTTTCAACGCAAGCAAGGAGAAGGACTCACTGAGTACGCGGCGAGGCTGGATTTGGCTTTCGACATGGTAGGCGCCCTCGGCCTTCCTCTACCCGATGATTGGAATTATGTTCCTGGAAGAGGGGGTTGGCCTGGGCGATCGCGGCACTCAGTCGATGAAGGGCCAGGTGCGAACCAAGGGCTCTTACAGGGAGGCGCTAGCGGCCATCCGCGAGATGGACGTGACCAGGCTCGAGCACTTGAATCGTCAGAGGTCCAGAGCGTTACATGTTGGGCAGCCAGAGGTCGTCAAGCAAGCATTCCCTGTGCATGGGCCCAACTCCGCGGGCGACCATGACGCGGACTCGCCACTCGACTGGGGCGACGTATCCTCGCTTGACACGGAGGGCGAGGCAGAGATATGCGTGGCGCTGGACAAGATGGACCTCTACGACGACGAGCTCAAATATGTTTTCAACACGATGCAAGAAGAAAGGTGTAAGACGTGGAAGCAGAATTGCGATTTGAAAAGGAAGCTCAAAGTAGATCGTATTTTTTCGACCGTTCCAGGGAGATCGAGATCAAAGTAGGAGATCGAGACAGACAGCGATTGAAGACATGACATCGCTCGGCTATGGGAGAACGCCGACCCGGGCGCAATCGATTGCCTCTCGCCGAGTTCATCAAGAGGACTAAATGCAGGACTTGCGGAAAGAAATGCCATTGGTCACGCGAGTGTCCAGACCGAGGCGGCCAGAGCCTCAGCGCCAGTGCAACCGGGGGGGGGGCGGCGTCCGTCGTCACCGGCTATGTGCGCGGGAGCGCGGTCGACCCCGACGCCTCGGGGGACGTGAGCGGCGACCAGGACCAGCAGCAGCAGGACGAGCTCGCGCTCCTCGCCGCCCCGCCCGGGGTTGACCGCGGCGGGCGCCGCGGCAGGGCGGCGTCTGATCGAGAAGCCATCTCTGAGTAGGCACGTAGATGTCTTGAAAAGCAAGGGCACCCGGGTCCCGCTCGTGGCCCCTCGGGGCCCGTCGGCCAGGAGAGTCGGATGGGGCGCGAAGGTGCTGCGCGCGGCCCTCGTTCCCGCGGGGGCCCAGGGAAAGTCCGGGATCGTCGAGCTCGACGTCCCTCGAGAGGATGTTCCGCCCGCGCTTCCGGTAGGTTTTCAAGGAATGCTGGGGTCCAAGACCGATTTAGAAGAAAACGCCATGGACCTCGAGCGTCTAGGAGTGAAAGTAGGAATGCGGCGTCTTCCCAGTCAGCACCGCACCATCAATATCGATGATTTTCAGGCCTCCGGCAGTGATTTCGAGTGCCCGGAGGCGGTCTTTTAGCGGCGTCCGTCGCTGAAAGAGAGCGATTATCATTGTGATGACAGCCGCTCAGGCAGCTCGGGAAAGTACTCACCTTTCTACTTCACCTCCATCAGCAGCCAGGGGGGCCGAGGGGGCCTAGTCGAGTCCGGCCGTGGCGTCTCCAGGGTCTCGGGAGCGGGCCCCGCCGTCTCCAGCTTGGGCATTCGGGGCCCGCGGGTGGCTCAGGTCTGGTGCCTTCGGAAGGCAAGCACTGTTCGGGCCCCATCTTCGATCTGGATCGGGTCGCGGGAACGAGCGCACTAAGGGAGGCTCGTCAGGAGGAAGAGGGGGGGGGGCCACAACCACGGGGTCGACCTGGTCTGGATCGGAGACCCGGTCAAGACGCAGCTCGGGGAGATTATATTGGTTGTTGGTATTGTTTCTTTCCGGGCAGCTACTCGGCTGGAGCATCTGGGCCACATCAGTTTTCGACGACGACCTCGGCACTTGCCACCGAGTTCAGCAGCCCCCGGGAGCAGGCGGTCGCGATGCCGAGGAGCCAGCACGCCGAAGCTCAGCTTCGCGAGAGGTCTCCGGCCACCATGACAGAGCAGATGGCTGGGGGCGACACGACCTGGACGTACGCGGTGACGGGCGCGACGGTTTTAGACAACCTCAACAAGGCGCAGCGCGGCTGGGCCAGCACGGTCGGCGCCGCGATGTTCTGGCTCAAGAAGTTCGCCGGAGAGCTCGCGCGCGTGATGGTGTCGCGCCGCTTCTGGCCCACCAACTTGCCCAAGCCGCTCAAGGTCGTGCCTCAGGCATGCTTGAGCTGCTGGCGCCCTCCGATCAGCGTCGAGCACGGCAGAATTGGCTATGGCTCTTGGTGGGCGTGCTCTGGCTGTGCGATGCAAATGGGATATCTCGACAGGAAGCCGGACAAGACGAAGAAGGAGCCCGACGTGACTTGTCTGTGCAAGCGCAAGAC